GAAGCCCATGGCCGAGTTCTTCTCCGGCTCAAAGGAGATGGCCGCGTCGCTCAGCTTCAGCTTCCCCAAGCTCTCCCGCAGCACCTCAAACTGGTCTGCGTCCACGGGGAAGAGCCCCGCGAACACGGTGGGGTTGGCCTCGGCGTAGCCCGGCAAGGCGTCGGAGGCCCCTCCCCGGGCGCTCGTGATGGTGTCACCCACCCGCGCGTCCTCCACCGCCTTGATGGCCGCGGAGAGGTAGCCCACCTCCCCCGCCCGCAGCACCTCCACCGCCCGCTTCTCCGGCGTCATGAAACCCACCTCCACCACCTCATACTCCTTCCCGCTCGCCATGAACTTGACCCGGTCCTTGGGCCGAATCTCCCCGTCGACTACCCGGAAGTAGACCACCACCCCGCGGTAGGGGCAGTAGTAGCTGTCGAAGATGAGCGCCTTGAGCGGCCCCCCCGTGGGCGGCGCGGGAGGGGGTACGCGAGCCACGATTTGCTCCAATATGTCGTCGATCCCGATGCCGCTCTTGGCCGAGGCCCTCACCGCCTCCGTGCAGTCCAGGCCCACCGTCTGCTCGATCTCCTCCTGCACCCGGTCCGGGTCCGCGGCCGGCAGGTCGATCTTGTTCAGGACGGGGATGATCTCCAGGTCGTTCTCGAGCGCCAGGTAGACGTTCGCCAGGGTCTGGGCCTCCACGCCCTGGGAGGCGTCCACCACCAGCAGGGCGCCCTCGCAGGCGGCCAGGGAGCGCGAGACCTCGTAGGAGAAGTCCACGTGGCCCGGGGTGTCGATCAGGTTCAAAATGTAGTCCTCTCCGTCCTTGGCCCGGTAGAGCATCCGCGCCGCGTTCAGCTTGATGGTGATTCCCCGCTCCCGCTCGATGTCCATGCTGTCCAGAAGCTGGGCCTTCATGTCCCGCGTCGCCACCGTCTTGGTCGACTCCAGAAGCCGATCGGCCAGCGTGCTCTTGCCGTGATCGATGTGTGCGATGATGCTGAAGTTGCGGACTCGCTTCACGTCGTACTTCCCCAGCTCCGCCGCCGTGGCCATGGCGGTTGGCTTGTTCTTGTCATCCTTCCTCTCGCGATCCCCCGACTCTTTGTCCTTGGCAACTTTCGCCGCCACCTTAGCGCCTTCAGTAGTGGCTTGAAGGCGTGACAAGGCGCTTTGGTGAGGTGGGGCGCGGGAGCAGCGACGCCACGACGCCCTCGCGGCGTCTCTTCTGCTTGTACTTGGGCTAGTGGAGAGGGGAAAGATGAAAGAAACGGCATGCTCAGCTGCAAGGAGCATCAGCAGGAGTAGGAAAAACACCCTCCGTAGGTTTTTCATAGTTTTTCCGATGACTTGTGAGCGCGATGGCTCCAGAGGCTGGGGATTTGCGCGGCAGTGGTGCCGTAGCGTCAGGGGAGACAGGGATGATACCGCCACACCGCCCAGAGCCGCTCCTTGCTGAGAATGTCGAGATTGGCCTCCGTTGTCTGCGAGCTCTGAATGGACGCAGTGAATCCCGAAGCCTGTGTCGATTGTATGCATGGCAGGTTATTGCGGTGGGAAAATGCGGGTGACAGGCGGGCACGACGTCCTCTAAAGGGCTGATTCCGAGATAGCACGGGCCGCGGCCACCGATCTTCCCACGTCGCCCAGTCTACGTTTGCTTCAGGATCGAACATTGACCGCATTTTCCCGCCCACACACATCAATAGGGACTGCACGATTGGGGGATATCATGACTACTGTATGGCCTAGCGGGAGACAACGAGTCCGACGTTGTCGTACATGCAAGACATCCCCGTCTCTGTTCACGCCACCCTCAACTTCGTCGCCCTCCTTGATGTTGATTGAGGCGCTGTTGCTGCTATTTATCGTTGCCTCAAATGCGTTCCTTCTTCCCCATCGATCAAACTTTTCAAGAGCCAAGTCTTTAAGTCGTGCCCACGTCGAAGGGAGTGATCGAGGGAGTGAGCGGAGGAGCCATTCCCACGGCATCCCCCGAGATCAGTACCTGCGGTTGACCTCTGCCGCTGGCAACTTCTTTGCTACCACAATTTTGACAATACAGACACCTCGAGCAACACAGGCACGGCTGCTCCCCTTGGGCGTAATTGATCAACTCCTCGCAGAGTGTCCAACGGAGAAATCTTGCGCTAGTAGTCAAGACGACCGCCCCCCTGTTTTCCAGGAGCCCTGGGAGTACGAGGATGCTACACAGGAAAAGGCGATGCGGCGCCTAAGAAGTTACGTTGAAAACCTGCCCGGTGCAGAGACAATATCAGCAGAGGATCGATACTTGCGCTTTGAGATCAAGGAGGATGGGAATATCGATGACACGGAGTTCTACTTCACCCCGAACGACTCGATCATCCAGTTCCGATCTGCCCGTCGCGGGGATGGCAGGGACCGGGGGGCTAACCAGAAGCGGATGGAAAAGATCCGGATCGCCTTGGGCTTCGAAAAGATCCCCGTCCTCCGCAACCGGCGCCGGGCCTTGTTCTTCCTAGAGTCTCCCCTGGACGGGTGGGGACCCTCTTACCGGGAGGACGCGCCCCGTCCCGAGGACCTGGACCAGGCCTACGGAGACAGCGACCCCCTGGCGCCGGGATGGGAGGCGCCCCCGCCGTACCCGTGGCGAGGAAAGGAGGGACGAAATGGGAATTGACAGGGACGGGGAGGGGGAGCGTCACCATAGGAAGGCGCGAAAAATGCCAGTGTACCATAGGAAGACAAGGCTCGAACGCGCCGCTCGTGACATTGTCCGCTCGGTCTCTTTCCATGAACATTCTTTCGATATCGCACACTGTATTCGCAACCGAAGGTCATCTCTTTCCCACCTTACGCTCTCTTCTCCGTCGCCTTCTCTAGGAGGAGAAATTCAGCATCTGCCCCAGGTCCCCCCCCCTCCCTCCCTCCCTCTCCTATTTTTTTCCCCCACATCTCCCCCGCGGACCCCTCCGAGGAGTAAGCTTACAAGGGCACGTTACTGTGCTTCCTAGGTGGATTCTCGACGCTCTTGTTGCGAAGGACCTCGAGTTCTTCACAAAGGTGCTGTCGCGTCATGGCGGGGTCGATCACCTCGTCTATGTAGCCCCGCGCGGCCGCCACCATGGGGTTCGCGAACCTCTCTGTGTACTCCAAGGTGTTGGCCTCCACGTCCTTGCCCCGGAAGATGATCTCAACCGCCCCCTTGGGCCCCATGACCGCGATCTCCGCCCCCGGCCAGGCGAAGTTCGCGTCCCCCCGGAGGTGTTTGGAGCTCATCACATCGTAGGCGCCCCCGTAGGCTTTGCGGGTGATGACGGTCACCTTGGGCACGGTCGCCTCCGCGTAGGCGAAGAGGAGCTTGGCCCCGTTCCGAATAATCCCGCTGTGCTCTTGGTCGACGCCGGGGAGGAAGCCCGGCACGTCCACAAAGGTGAGGATGGGCAGGTTGAAGGCGTCGGCGAAGCGGACGAAGCGCGCGGCCTTGACGGAGGAGTCGATGTCCAGACAGCCCGCCAGGTGCGCCGGGTTGTTGGCGATCACGGCCACTGGATGGCCCTCCATGCGCGCGAAGCCCGTGAAGATGTTCTGGGCGAAGGCCGGCATGATCTCGAACACCTCGCCCTCGTCCACGACTTTCTTCACCACCTCCCGCATCTCGTACGGGTGGTTCGGGTCGTCCGGGCACAGGTATCGCAGGCACGCCTCTTGTCGGTACCTGGAGTCCGCTGTCTGCACGGAGGGAGGCTTTTGGCGCGAGTTGAGAGGCAGGTAGCCGAGGAGGAGGCGCGTGGCCCTGATCGCCTCCAGCTCGTTGTCGAAGGCGCAGTGCGCGACGCCCGACATGCTCGTGTGCGTGTCCGCCCCGCCCAACTCCTCCTGGGAGATGGCCTCCTGCGTGACGGTCTTGACCACGTCGGGGCCCGTCACGAACATGTAGGAGGTCCGACGCACCATGAAAATGAAGTCCGTCATCGCCGGCGAGTACACCGCCCCCCCGGCACAGGGGCCCAAGACCAGGGAGATCTGAGGCACCACGCCCGAAGCCAGCACGTTGCGTTGGAAGACCTCTGCGTAGCCGCCCAGGGAGTCGACGCCCTCCTGGATGCGGGCCCCGCCCGAGTCGTTCAGGCCGATGACCGGCACCCCCGACTGCATCGCCTTCTCCATCACCTTGCAGATCTTTTGGGCGTGGGTCTCGGACAGGGAACCCCCAAAGACAGTGAAATCCTGGCTAAAGACATACACAGGCCTCCCATCGATGGTGCCCCAGCCTGTCACCACCCCATCGCCGGGGTAGACCTCTTTTTGCATGCCGAAATCCGTGCACCGATGGGTCTTAAGCATGTCCGACTCCCGAAATGTGCCCTCGTCCAGAAGCAAGGAGAGACGCTCGCGCGCGGTCAGCTTGCCTTTTGCGTGCTGCTTGGCCACGCGTTTTTCGCCACCTCCTTGTAAAGCTTTGGCGCGTTCGTCTTCGAGTCGCACACGGAAAGCATTCTTCAACGTTACAACACTAGGCTGATGGTTCACCGCCTTGACCTTGGACGAAAGAGGACGCAATACCTGCTGTAAATGCACCCGTGTGCGTACTTGACGCAATGTTTGATGGGTCGACGGAAAGCGCGACAAGATTGTGGCGGCGGAGACTGCCGTTTGCATGGTGCGGTGCCCTGAGCTTGTTCTTGCCGGGGCTCTTCAGTCCGAGCTCGTGCCCGCCCCCTCGTGCACGTCTGCTGAAGGTATAGAAAGGCGAGCGACGGACAGAAACCGAGTCCTCCACGGATACACTGTCTGTGAGTGCACCTAGGGGCCTGTGGGAGGGCCAGAGTGGATTCGAGGAGGCAGCCTCAGTGTGGGGTCGGGTTGATTGAACTTGTCGCGGAAGCGAGCGAGTCGTTGTCGTCCACGTCGCGGGGCTACGAAATTGGAAAGTCTCGTGATATGGCCAAAGCTGCAAGAATTTTAGCGGGCCACGGCATCACATGTGCACAATATTGTTATTCATACCAATGGACAGGATCTTTTATCGAAACAGGTTGTTTCGCGCCCTGAATACAAGCCATGGAAAGTAACTCGGGAGGGGAAGAATTGTGTTTTTATGAAATTCTGGGGGTACCGCCCGCCAGCTCCACTGATGACATCAAACAAGCGTACCGGCGATTAGCGCTTCAGATGCATCCCGATCGTAATCGTGGCAATGAGGAAGAAGCGCGGCAGACGTTCGTGCTTATTGGAGAGGCCTACGAGGTGTTGAGCGACCCGGAGCGACGTGACGTTTACGATCGCTTTGGGCGCCAGGGACTGGCAGCTCATGATCAAGGTCGCAATCCTGCCGATTCATCCCCTCGTGGTCCAGGCGGTAGTCGGGGAAGCGGTGTGGAGGATTTCTTCTCTTCCGCAGGGCATCATTTCCATCGTGACGCCACCTTCGGATTCCCACATGCGCAAGAAATATTTGACGCTTTTTTCTCTGAAGAACGCGTAGGTTCCGGGAATGGGCGAGGCAACTTTCCCTTTGGGTTTGGCGGGGAAGGACTTGCCCCGAGGACATCCTTCTTTTCCCCCCCATTTTTCGGCGGTGCCATGCAGCAGCAGCAGGGATTTGGCTTTCGTCCGTTCTCTTTCGCTCCCTTCACAGACTTCGATGAAGGGGGAATTTTTCAGCAGCAATTCCAAAGCAGTAGCAGCACCAGCGGTCGCAACGGCTTTTCCATGAGTCATAGCAGTATCGGTAACACCCGGAGCAGCAGTAGCAGTATGACAGGTGCCGGTGGTGCGATCAGCAGCATGTCTTCAAGTATGACCAGTCAGGATATGGGCAGGGGCACGAGGCGGTCTGTAAGGACTGTAACGACAGTGGGAGCGGGTGGTAGGAGTCGAACCCGGAGGGAGACAACCGTGAGCTACCCGGATGGGCGGTGCGAAACGACAGTGGAGGAGCAGGAAGCAACCCCGAGTCCTGATACAGATGCCCATACGAGAGGAGGAGGGTCCGGAATGTACTATCTTCAACAGCAGCATCAACAACAGCAAGGTAGTAGCAGAGGATGGATGTGAAGAGATGTCTTCTACCGAAAATGTCAATGAGGGGAAAAGAATAGACGGATGATGAGCTCTCTAAACAATGGAGGTTATTCGTGAAAATCAACTTGCCCCCACGTTATAACAGATTATTTGCTTTGGAAAGATCTGAGAGCGACATGAGCACATTAGGTCGCGGATCAAATATTTTGGTTTCTTGTTGTCTCACAACCCCAAGTGTCACATACGATGATTTAGCATCGTCTCTTTCATTTTTCATGTCATGTATCGCACTTATGATGTTTAATGCCACCTCATACACCTCAATCAACAAAAAAGAAATAAAGCGGAAAAAATGATACTTCAATAGTTCCTTGTCGCAACCCTGCACTATCTCTTACTTCCCCAAAGTCTGAGCAAATAAATAGTGTGCTATTAATGCTCATCGCAAATGTGTCTCGGGATGGCTATCCCTTGGGCTGTCGAGGCTCTTCGGTCGGGTATGTAATAATTAAAGTTGGCCATTTTCTCATATTATTCAAATTTAAATTTTCAAATTATCGCCAACTGTAAGGCTATCACGTCACGGCCCCTACTCTAGCGCCGCTTCTCTCACTTTAATAGATCTTCGAAGCTATGAACAATCTATTTCAAAATTATGGCATTTCGTTTGAAATGTGATAGTCATGACGGTGTTTTGGTGCAATGCAAGCCGTGTCAGCAAGATCGCAATTTTTTTTTCTTCCTGCACCTGGTTGCTCGTTCTCTACATCCGTTTCTTAGGTCCCTCCTTATTATTCATTCACGACATTACGACGCGGAAACATTTATAAGTACCTGCAGATAATCTTTCTGGGTGCACTGCACAGTCGATTTCCAGGCGTTTCATCGAGTAGGACTCTGCCGGAAAACCTAGGAGAAGAAAGATCTCGAACTCGCGGCAAGCTCCCTGACATTACGTAAGAACGCAAGTACCCATAAATCCCCCACATAATCTCACCACCACAGTACAATTTACGAATTTGTACATTAAAAAAATTCTATGCAAGTTTAGCAAGATATTTTTGGACGCATTACTGTATATGTAGCCCTATCTACCGGTCTGAGTACAAATAATTCGAAACGAAGTACCATAGTATGCGAAAAGACATCGGTTTTGCATAATATAAGATGCTCTATCAATGTTGATAATATCTTGCAATTGAGACGATTCCGGCCACAGCAAACCACCCACTTAATGCGCAGGGGCTATACATCTCTTCTGTTTCCTCTTTCTTCAGGCGAGATCTATGGCACGAGCTGAACGTGACGAAGTCGACCACCATGTGCATGGGGTAGACAATGAAGAGAATAAGAGCCTTGCAATTTCAAAGAAGGATTTCCCTGATGCTGATGCTGAAGTTGGCGGACTGGACATGCTTCAGCACCAGGCCAGTCGTCTGCATGCGAACTCCCAAGAAGTTGTACACGCCAAGAGTCCGGCAAGTTTCGCTCGACCATTTTCGTCCACTACCTTACCAACCATCCCAATGTTTGACTCTAAAAAGCAGACATACCCCGCTGAATCGATGAAGTGCTATCAAGATGCCAAAGCTAGAGCTATGGAAAGTCTTGCTCAAAACTATGCCTTGAAACTGGATGTAGTCAAACAGATAGAAGAATTCGAGATCGCACGCCGAGAGTATTTTGACAATAAGCGAGGGTCAAATGCTATTTACTTGATGGCGTTTACCGAGATTTTGAAACGGAGCAAGGCTGAGAACACTCAATATCTTGAGTTTTTCAATCGTAAAGTCGCAGCGGAAAATACCTATGTTAGGTGCATCTTGGAAATGATAGAGGAGTCGGAAAAATTGAAGCACGGAGGTGCCCACAAATCCCCTTGTGAAAGGACATCGGTAGATCCAAAAAAGAATGCACTTGATGATCTTATGGCTGTGCAAGAGCACATGGTGCAGCAAGTACATATTTTTGCGAAAGTCATTGAAACGAATATTATTCCCGTTCTTGAGGAAATGATCACCACATTCAATGCCTCTGAGGAGTCCATTCTTCAAGATGGCGGAACGTACTTGGAGGATATCGACGTAGCCGAAGACCACGTGCAGCAAGCCTTCATCCAGTATCGCGACCAAGCACAAGCTTTGGAAAAGATGGGTATGTCGGAGGGGCAGGATTTATGGATATATGAGATGCACTATCGGATGGCTGTTGTCATTTTGCTGGAGACTTGGGAACTCTCTTCCACTGCCTTGACTGCAATGTTTGCGCGAATGAAGGACACAGAGATGGCTAGGCGACAGGCAATCCACTCGGCCCTCCAAACGTTGAATGAAGAGCAGACGGCTTACTGGAGGAAACTCCCCCACCTAGGGGTGACGCTCTCCTCTTTGGTTCAAAGCCATGCTACAGACCCACGTTTGATCGAAAAGCAGATTGGAGCCGATATTCGTATGGGCGCGAAGCGATTGGGACTGTCGGAGGAAGGTATACATCTCAAGGGTCAGATTATGGCGACCCGTCCCCTGCGCGTCTTTACACAAGCTTCGATACAGTCTGCCAATTTGGGAAAGACCTCCAGTTTTAACGAGTCCACAATGGAACATCGAATCAAATCAGGGTCCGGGAGCTTTCGTTGTGAGACCGAGGTGGTGCCGAACAAAAAAACTGCGAAAGCGAACAAGAATAGGAGGAAGAAACAGGCCAAGAAATTGTTTTCGCAGAGACTGGATGGGCCTCTTCAAAGCCCCTTAATCACACGAGCACAGATTTTTGAACAGAAGAGTACTAATGTTTTCACATGTAAGAGGCATGTTCTCGCTGTTATGACAATAGACAGCTACCTGCATATATTTGATCTTCCTCAAGTTTCAATCCGAAGTCAGACGGTGGCCGCCAACACCGCATCTCCTGCTGCGCAAGCCGCGCTATACGGCCTAATTAAGAGGCCGGATCATGTAAGCCGAGCGGTAGGACATACCTCGTCCGTCATCTCCAGCAATGCCGTCTTCACCTCCGACAAAGAGGGCACCTTGAAGACTTTGGACTTAGTTTCTCCTCGTCTAACATTAAATCTGGCCCAGTGTGAGGCGTATGTGAAAGGTGCGGCGAGCAAGAAAGACACTTGTCTTGAAATTGTTGAGGTTGGAGCAGGGCTAGGCAGCAAAGGCTTCAAAAAGGTCTTGGAGGGTCTAGCCCACAGGCGTGTAGTCGTTCTTAAAGGGAACACCCAAGAAGAGCTAGAGGACTGGTGCGGGGTGATAGATGCGTGCAAAAGGATGTTAAGAGCAGGAAGTCCTGCAGTTGTTGGTGCAAGGTGACTCGATATGACATCTTGATAGTACACAAACCCTTAAAAGGCTGTTTTCTTCGTATTTGATCGACCAAGGAATGAGGGATTTGGTACGAGCTTGATCTTCAGTATGTATGATTTTCAGAAAATGTCACAAGGTTTATCTCGCGAGTGTAGCAGAAGGCGCCATGCAAGGTGTGAGGCTGAATGAGGCAATACGTATAGATTAAATCTGAAAATTCTTTTTTGTGAGTAATTGTGCTCAGAATAAATGGATCTAAAACTTGAAAAACACTACAAATGTGCCTAAATTACGTATGAGAGTTCTACGATAAAAGGACATAAGAGGGCATAAGCCATCAATGGCAGCACAATTCTCTAAGATGATTCTTCTGTTTTGCTGCCGCACAAGGTTTGCATGGCAGATAAATTCTTATTTTATTGTCCCCAAAAGTAAATAAGATCTCCCTCTGTTCCAATTCATTCTAACCTGAACATCATAATTCAATAAGGTTTGCTTACATCTTCGGCCTATGCCTTAGCTACATGCAGGCCAGATTGTTTTGAATGAAGGTCGACTCGTTCAATTCAACGGCAATCTCAATTCTCAAGGAGTGGTCACCGAGGGTGATGCAAAAGGGAGCGTAACAGGCAAATCTGTCGGGCCAAGTGCTTGTCCTTGAAGACTTTGCATTGACGGACTGTTCACGCCCATGTTACTCATAGGACGCTCTGATTTGCGAGAATATTCTGCTTTCCCGTTATAATGTAACTCCCCTCTAAGATGACGTTGGCTCAGATTATGTGGTTTTGGTGTCTCCAAGCGAAAAGCTGACGAGAAAGTCTCAGGTGTAATACTGCTTTCAGTCACATGCAGCGTTGCGTCGACAAATCCTGCATTATAAAGACCATTCCAAATTTGACCGACCGTGCCGCGTAAGTGACTTTCGTGGGCGTATGCACTGCAAAACAGCAGGAATATGAGTGCCATTCGTTGAAAACTCATAAAAACCTCCTGAAGGTGGCTTAAATCGCGGGAACATGAAGAATCCTTGGTTGAAATAAAATAAATTTTAACGTAAGCGTGAACCAGAATTGTACTCAAACATTGAAAGTGATGCCTTGCTGATGTCTGAAAAGCAATCTCTCATTGTCAAGTAGCACGCGGGCACGCTATATACGCAAAACACATCTTTCTCAACATTACACGAAGCGAAGCCATAGCCATACATTTAGAAGGATGATCTTCATCACATGAGCCTCAACAACCGATTTTTCAGCTAGATCGCCCAGTCCTTTCGCGGTATGGACACGGGTAAAAGAATCTTCTTGACCTCCTCCTATAATTTGAAAAATAACGGAAAGTAACGGCGGAGAGTCGTTTCGTTTCAAAAACGAGCAATCCCTCCTGCTTGGTACCGAAGCAGGTTTGTAAGTGCAAGACTTCACGTTCCTCAACAATAAAATTTGCTGGTCTTTCAAGATCTTGATATATTTGGAATCGTCGAAGTACGTGACCGGGACCTTTATCTTTCACTCATGAAACGGGTCCAAGCGGCTCGACATCCTCAACTTTCCTCGCTACCTCTCAATGCAACGGGCAATTTTATCGAGCACGAAGCAGAGGGACACTGTGTACCCAATCCAGCCCGACATGAAGCATTGATGATGGCAACTGTTATAATCGAAATTTGTGTTCACTCTCAAGTGTTCTCTGGAAGCATGGATACAGTGAACATGCGATGACCCTTCGAATAAACAATTGAAGTGGCTTGGTTCTAAGTTGTACCGCAATAGCAAAGACGACTCTCATAAAGTATGGTAGGTATTCAAAATGACATTTAGTCTCATCTCCAATATACAGGTTCAAGTTTACGGTCGGGCCTGTACCGACCTGGTTTGTCTGTAACAAAAATGACAGACGCGGAGCTTGCCGCTGCTACAGAGATCTTGCCTGTAAGTGATCTTTCAAACGCCTCTTTTTGAGGTCAGACTCTCTTCTCAATATTTTGTCCTCCTTCTTGCGAGAAGATAGGAATTAGTATTTAAGGAAGCTCCAAAAGTTCTCTCGCATACTTAGTGCATGCCTCGCGTAAAATGAGTGCATAAGCGACTCCGCATGCTCCTCTCCATACCAGTGAGGTCTAGAGCTATAACCTACCACTCAAGGTCTAGATATCATCGCCGCTGATTTCAATATGCGTAATTAATCTAAATACACTATACTCACCTCGCATGGTTTCATCCTTCACGCGTGCATTCAGGACCGACTCTATCACGTGAGTCTGCGTGGCAAACTCCCAGCAGAGACAACCAGGAATGCCCATTTTTTCAGCATGGACAATGAATTAATCTATTGGAACTTTTTTCTTGACTTCGGACCGCTCAATCTTGCTCAGCTTTACCGCTTCTGTCAGCGGCTGAACAGTAAGCTTAAGTCGGAATCGCTTCGGGATAAAATAATATACTACTATTGCGGCTTACATGCACACAAAAGGACCAACGCTGCTCTACTCATGGCGGCTTGGTCTATGATATATCTAGACCGGAGCCCTAAGGAGGCATTTGAGCCCTTTTGCAAGGTCTCCTCCTCCTTTCCCCCCTTCCATGATGCTTCTCCTTGCCTGTGTACCTATCCCCTTTCCATCCTTGACTGTTTGAAGGGAATTGCAAAGGCACGCTTTTACAACTTCTTCGATTTTTGCCGATTTAATGTGGAAGAATATGAGCATTTTGAGCAAGTGGAAAATGGAGATCTTAACTGGATTGTACAGGGAAAGTTTTTGGCATTTGCCGGCCCACAAAATAATCGTGAGCTATCGCCTGAGGGATACTACACCCTCACGCCTGAAAACTATGCGGGGTATTTCTTAAAGCGTAACGTTCAGCTAGTGATTCGTCTTAACAAGAAGTATTATGATGAAACCAAGTAAGTAGCTAGACTTATACTGCATATGAGAGGGAGGGAAGTGCTGGGAATGTTTCAACGCGAGAAGTATGTCGCTGGTATGGCCCATGTCTTCATGTGTTGCGAGGCATACTCCCTCATGATGACATCCGTCTTCGTGACAAATCCAGACAGTCAATCCCGTATTAATCCCATCTCTTTTTCACTTCATTATTCACTCAGGTTCACCTCTCTAGGCATCAAACACTTGGAGCTTTATTATCTCGACGGGTCGATCCCCACGAACGCTATTCTTCAGACGTTCCTTAAAGCCTGTGAGGAGACCCCCGGAGCGATCGCTGTGCATTGTAAGGCTGGACTAGGAAGGACTGGGACGTGCATTGCCTGCTACTTGATGAAACATTACCGCTTTACGGCGGCTGAGGCGATCGGGTGGCTTAGGGTGTGCCGGCCAGGCAGCATCATTGGTCCGCAGCAGCATTATCTAGAGGAGATGGAACAAGTTATGTGGCGACAGGGGGATGCTTACCGACAAGAGAAGATGCGAGAGGCCAAAAGCGAGCAAAATGAGAGAGATAATGGGGTAGAAGCCTATCGGACATCCAGAAAAGGCCTCGGGAGCAAGCCTGTGGCTGACGCTGCAGGCAAGGTCGACGACGCATCCATAGCTGAGGTATTTGAAGATGCCTCCGACGAGTGGAAGGAGCAGAATGGAGGAAGCGGTGCATTTGGACGAGACGAGTGCGCGGACGGGATACCGAGTAATGTGGTCCCGGCTACTGCAGAACTCTCTTCCCCGTGTCTCCCCGGGTATGTGGGAGCCGATGGCTGCAAAACTAATGCCAACCATTTCAGCAATATAAGCAAGCAAGATTCCTACATGACAAGTCAAGGAGACTCGCTTCTGCATCGGAGGGCGATGGTCCAACAAGAGCAACACAGGATGTCGTCAGCTACATGAGGCAGAAATCAAGAGAAATCAAGTGATCAATATAAAACGGCAGAAAAGATGGCAACAAGATGGAGTGCAATAGAGAGCTCCAGTCTCTTGTACATATATTGCGCAAGCACGTGTAGCGACTGTTGAAGCTGTTTAGATGCAGCAGCAGTTCGGCTCCGCATTAAGGTAATATTTTAGAACTACATAGATAAGAGGGCGACATGGTCACGATGCCTGAGCTGAAAAGAAGATGCATAAGAGAGTCTATCCTGTTCCCTTTTTTCCGATTCGCCAGCCACTCTTCGGATCAAGGCGTGCATTCACGAATGGCATAAAGATCAATTGAGTAAGAGGCGAAGAAAACTTCAAGCAAGAGAAAGTATATAAGTTCTAGGTACAGTATCAAAAGACTGGAGAGCGGTTGCTGTCAAAGTAATATTCCTGCCCTCCCCGATGAAGTATTGACTTGGCATAAATCCTTCTTCGTGTTGTTGTCGTCGTTCTTGGTTATGTTGGTGTTGCTTGTGGTGCTTGGCCAGACTATTTTTTAACATCTTCCCCCTTTGGCTCTGTCGCTTTTGTTGATTCATGCATCCAGTCCCTGAACTCTCAAACTCTGCGGCACCTCTCTCAGCTCCCCCCTTCTCGCCACCAGGTGATCCAACATCGAAAATTGCCGTGGCCAGCCCACCGGATACAGGAAGGGCCTCAGATCGAAGCGGTTGTCATCGGGCGAGTACTGCTCGGCATGGTACGCTGGCGTTAGAGTTGTCATTTTGTGTCTGTTGATTGCATAGAAGCGGAAGAATAGCTTCACCTTCTCTGCAATGACAAGAGGGCTCAAGTGGGGCCACGCAGAGATTAGCTTCAGAAACATGGACACAGGCCCACAACGATCAATCTTTCGCAGTCGCCCGTACAACCCCAATTCCGCATATGACATGCCCATATCTTCCTCGTCAATCTGACTGTGCTCTTCGCTGCCCCCACTTCCATTGCCTACCCTACGTCCTTCACTCGTTTTTTCCATTGGACGGAGCTCAGCCGTCGGGGGTGCGGCTGCCACTTCTGCCAAGGTCGAGTACCCAAACCTGTCAGCCGCCCACATCAGAGTCTTCTTCAAGTCTCCCTTAGAAATGGAACCAATGGGATTGAGGTCCGCGGAGGAGCAGTCGTACTTGGTCATGTACCCCCGCAGAGCCTCGTCGACGTTGGCACTGCCCAGCACAAGAAGAAAATTCCGACGGACCTCGACTTTTTGACTTCCTCGGGCGTTGTCGCTGCCAACACCGCCCATTCCGCGAATCCATGGCGTGAGTTGCGCCAGCAAATAAGCCATCACCATCCGCAATCTCGCCTGTATGTTCTGCAGCGCCAAATCCTCCGTGGCCGTTCCCCCCTCCGATAGATATCGCGGCATCCGTCCTCCTGAGACAAATTTAAAGACGCCGAGCACCGCTGTTACTATGGAATCTATGCTCAAGGAGTAATGGAAAGCCCCCACCTGAGCCGCTAGAGCGGCAGCGCGTGCCTT